TGGCTAATAAATATAAATAATTAGCTCTATCCGGAACCTGCTGTAGGCTAGGCCAATTGATTATATCTTATTCGGGCCAGGGTATTATAATTAGCTATTGCGATTATTATAATCTAGCAGAACCTGACCCTGATCAGGGAAGCAAAATCTATTGCAGTGCCCGGTGTCTGATGAAGGCCTTGTCGGATATGGCTGCAGCCACAGCTATCCCCGAGACCTCGGCTGATGTCAGAGCAGACGCCGCTTCAGAAATCCTCGCAGAGCCGCTTCGCACAGAGGCAGCAAAGCCACTTCCAGCAGAGCCCGCTTCAGAAATCCCCGTAGCAAAGCCACTTCCCGCAGAGCCCTGTTCAGAAATCCCGGCATCATCGGAGCCACTTCCCGAAATCCCCATGCCAGAGCCACTTCCCGCAGAGCCCGTTTCAGAAATCCCAGCATCGTCGGAGCCACTTCCCGAAATCCCGATGGCAGAGCCACTTCCCGCAAAGCCCGTTTCAGAAATCCCAGCGTCGTCGGAGCCACTTGCCGAAATCCCGGTAGCAGAGCCATTTCCCACAGAGCCCGTTTCAGAAATCCCAGCATCAGAGCCACTTCCCTCAGCCAATACTGGTGCCGTGGTCGTTACAGCGACAGCTACAGACTCTGGGTTGGAGCATGATCTCGAAAGGCTTATGGCCATGGAGGAAGCTACTATCGCACAGCATCGAGCAGACGCAGCCGTGCAGATGCAGGAGGCCGTCAACAAGCTTTGCCTCGCTATGCTGAAGCATCGATCCCTAGATACTGCTCGAACTGAGAAGATCCAAGCCATGCTTCGCAGACAGGATTCTTTGGAGGAGATCGAGAGCATGGCCGCTGAGCTTACCGAGCCTGCCGGCGAGCCTGCCCCCAAGGCTACGGAGGAGACGCCAGCCCCACCTGAACCCATGCACCCTGCCACGACCGAGCCCCCTGCCGCCAGCGAGGCGAAGGTGGAGAGCAAAATCCAGGTAAAGCAAGAGATCGAGGAGGAGACCAGGAACCCAGAGGCTGAGGAGGCCACTGAAGCAGAAGCTAAAGAAGCAAAACGCTTGGCACACAACAGCTATGTCAGGTATGGCAGATCCCTTCGCAACTCGACTTCAACTGACCCCGTAGTATCACGGCTTCCCAGACCCTATTCCCGAATCTATACTTTTATCTTAATGAACCCATATATTAATCCTAAGCCCTATAAATCCTAGCTAGAAGCCTTATATTATAAATCCTATTATAAGCCCTAAAATAAACCCATAAATCCAAAGCTTATCAAATCCCAAGCTATAATAAGTCCAGGCAGCAGCAACTGCCCGCCCGAGATCTACTCCAAGGTCTTCTTTCCGGATGGAAGATCCAGTGGCATGGCTGCCTGCATTTCAGATCATGGGAGGTGAACATTATCTATGGACGGCTAGCCAGGGCACCTATCCAGGGATATTTTTAAATAAGCATCAATTATGATGAGGGCCAGGGTATAGGGGTTTAATGGTTTGGGGTTATTGTATGATTTAGGGTTTTAGCCCAGAACAATTCAAGCGATATATGCCCAAACCATAAGCCCTGAACACCCTGTTCGCCCAAACCCTGATGAAGTCCTATCGATCCAAAAAACATCACAACACCGTAAACCCCACCAACTACCCTAAAATGCATTCATCGCCCAGGGGGAACGAAGATTATGAGACACTTCTACGAGATGTACGTGTCAGCCGGAGGGAATTGGCAAAAAAGTTCAGTGATGGTCAACATCAGGAATCGCAGCAAGGGGAAAAAGACCGGCAAGTATGTGTGGAAGAAGTGGGAAACTTTGGCCAAAGAGTGCTTCAGCTGTGTAATCAACAGTTCTTATAAAGCTTGACAGTAAAAAGCTAGGCCTTGTAACTTGTAAACATGTATACACTGTATATAAGCCTAGTACTGCTACGCCCAGGCACGGCGACGAGATCGCCGATAGCATCGCCTCGGAGAAGAAGAAAAACGACCCACGCGGGACCGGGGCATGGTTCATGCCGCATCCGGATATGAAGTCGAAGAAGGACCCTTTATTTCAGCAAGCCCTGCCCCTAAACCCAAAACCCAAAACCCAAAACCCTGAACACTCTTAATCTATCCCTGCTGGAAGGAGTGGGAGCTCTTTCGTGTTTTCGACTCGAAGGAGGAGCTCAATGAGCATGAAGAAGAATTTGATTACAACTTCAACTTCGAGACGGACTTGGACGGCCAAGGTACAGCACAGATGCTGCCCCGTGCTTCAATCGAGCGGTTGTTTCTTTTATTTAAACCCTAAACCCTAAACCCTAAACCCTAAACCTTAATAATTTTAATCTATCTAGGCTCTGGTCACATATATATATATATATGACCGAGGTCCGAATGCATGGGTGGCCCACCCCTCGTGGCTACAGATGGTGAGGCTACTTCATCAGCTGCAACAGCTGGAGACCATGGCCGATCGTCGCAGCAGCTTCCTCCAGGACCTCGCTCTAACCGCAACCCTGGATCTAAGCGAAATGATGAGAAGCCCAACCCCAACAAACTCCCAGCCAAGCCAAAAACTGGGCTACAGCAAGCGGCCGACCTCCTCAAGAAAGTTGTGGTCCGAGCCGCTGAAGCAGATGGGCTCCAGGTGATGCTGCAGAAGAATGGAGTGTGCCTTCGATTGCAGCATAGAGTTATCGTCTCGATTAATTTAGTATTAGTTATAGTCACTATTATAATCTTGTATTACCGCTAGCTGCCGCTAGCTCGTTTACATACATTATAAATCTAAATAGAGCAACGCAAGCCCTTAAAATCTTTGTGGCCTCCTCTGTACAGGGGTGCTGCTTTCGCCGAAGCTCTGATCAAAGACATGGTCCCGGTGATTGACAACATGAAGTGTGCTTTGAAAGACTTGCAGGATGCCTATGTGCGAGATGAGCCAGACGAGGTGATTCTGCCGCTCTGCACAACGATGACAACTGCCAGCAAGGTCTACGACGATAAGTACAAGGCCATCAAGAAGACCTTGCCTTCGAAAACGAAGCCAAAGGGCAAGGCAGCGGCAGCACCGAAGGTGTAGCCACACGGTGTAGCCTTGGCTGCCGTGACGATATCCGATACTGATTTTGGGCACTTTGATTTCGGCTTGCTTTGGTGAGCAGAGCAATCTAGCTAGGACCACGCTTGGGCTGTTTGTCTGGCCTGCTGAGCTTCATGACATTTCAAAACATAGGCTCACACACTTTAAGCTCGCAGCGGGCTGGGCCTAGACGCAGCTCTTAGTGTGCACTTGGAAACGAGTCAGATTGTGCTGAGGGAACTCACAGCATGCCGATATCGAGTCGAGACAAACCTGGCTGTCTGGGCTATCGCGGCTATGAATCAGATTAGCTAGCATGTCCCTCTCCCTCGATCATACTTCCATTCTCCCTACATATGGTATCATGAGTCTCACTTGCACTGCACCATCACGCTTACGCTCAGGATGCTTGAGATTTTTGGGGCCAGGGCTTTTAGTATAATTGGTTGTTGCTTAAACCCAACTAACGAATCCCGAAACGACTTCTTGAAGCCTTGGGGTCAGGGCTTTTAGTGTAATTGGTTGTTGCTTAAACCCAACTAACGAATCCCGAAACGACTTCTTGAAGCCTTGGGGTCAGGGGTTTTAGTGTAATTGGTTGTTGCTTAAGCCCGATAATTAACGAAGCCCGAAACGACTTCTTGAAGCCGCTATGTTCCAACGCATGTAACCCGAAGCATCGTCCGAACCTTTCGACAATCTTCCCAAAATACTGACACTTCGCCAAGCCTATGCCTTGCAATTAATAATTAGACCCAGCCCCGAAGACTTTGTAATAACAGTGTATGCATTACATATCCCAGTGTCCGACAATCGAGAACCCGAGCACTAGGCTTCTAAATCCCATGCACTATAATATAGGACTAGTCTTAAACCCCGATTCCTAAAACCCCAATCCTTATATAACTATACAATGTACCCCAAACCCTCTCCCACGCCGAAGAATTTGTAATAACGGTGTATGCAGTACATATCCCAGTGTCCGACAATCGAGAACCCGAGCACCCGAGCACGAGGCTTGTAAGTCCCATTCACTATAATAATTAGGACTAGTCTTAAACCCCGATTCCTAAACACCCAATCCTTATATAATTATACAATGTACCCCAAACCCTCTCCCACGCAGGGGTCGCTGGAACGATTCGAGCCCGGCTGCTATCTGGAGTGGGAGCTGGCGACACTTTACCTTTGCAGAACGCTTAAGTTTAGGGTCTGGGGTTTAAGGTTTAGGGTTTAGGGTTTAGGGTTTAGGGTTTAGGGTTTAGGGTTTATTATAATAAACTCTAAACCCTAAATCCTAAACCCTAAACCCTGAATCCTTAACCTTAAACCCGAAGCCCTGAACCCTGAACCCTAAACCCTAAACTTAACTCTAAAGTAGGGGATATAGTTTTTTCGTGTATTTATAATAGGGATTAAAGGAGTAAGGTGCAGAGTATCGCGATCGCGACAATACCGAGTTGCACGCTATGCCCACACGTGCACCCGAACTCAAACCCTAAGCCTGATTAACTACATGATCTTAGCCTATACTTACGAGAAATCCCAACCCAGACCCCAAAACTCAAGCAATTGCAGCCATATCCCAAAACGCACGCGAGGAGTGGAGCAGCAACATCGCCCAGGAGTTGGCAGATTGCATCAGCATCGCACCTCGGCTTTATCCAGTTTAAAGGCTTTCAGCTGCTTTGCTTTTATGGGTTCGAGTCGGCTTTGTCTAAGGAGTTGGGCAGTGCTACCCCAGCAGGGGTTGAGGATCTGGCCGCATGTGGGGCTCGGGGTTCGCGAGCTGGCAATGTGTGGAGGGACGTACGTGCTCGATGCCCCTCCGAGGGAGTGCCTGGTCATTAGCTAGGATAACGACCGTTTGTTCGCTCGGGCTGCAGATCTCAAACGTTTTAATAGATCCGAGGTTCCTGAGATGGATACGATCACAATTTATGTGAAAGCACGGGCAGAACCTAATTGCCCCGATGTGGTACCCTTCGAAATGCCAATCTTCCCTCCACATCGCCTCACTGCCTGGCTGGTTCGCACGGGCCATCTACAATTGGACCGAGAAGCATCGCAGCAGTTCTTCAATCACTTCCGGGAGCATCAAGTTCCTTGGATGGAGGAGAGCTCGGAAGAAACTGCAGACTTCTACCCCTACGGGCTATATGGCGATGAAGCTGAGTATACGGCTACAAAAGAGAAATTGCTGGTGATTCTCATCAGCCTCTCGTCATAACTAATGCACATGATCAGTGTTGTTAGGAAAGTTGCTGCTGTGACAAAGCATCCGAGGTTATCCTCTTCAAACATCTAAGAAAGTATGGGCTACTCGATTCCCGCTCTGTGTGCTCCGCACAGAACGCATCATTGGGCCGCAGACGCTCCAACCGATCTGGGATTATCTGGCCTGGAGCGCCAATTGCCTTTATGAAGGAAAGTGGCCTAGCAAATCGCTTTCTGGAGAAGAGATTCAAAGCCCCGACTGTGGCCAGTATCTTTGCAGCGACAAAACACGATTTCGGTTAACTGAATGTCGTGGAGACTGGAAGTGGCAGGTACAAATCTTTAGACTAAAAGGTCACTTCGGAGCAACGAATGTTTGCCACAGATGCCGAGCTTCCAAGAAAGATGTGCAGTGGATCTTTACTGACTTCCGCCGAAATGCTTCTTGGATTCAAACCGAGCGAACCCATCGAGAATTCTTGCTCACGATGCTTGGCGAGCCGCTGAACACGCTGGTGTTCGTGGCAAAATTCCACCACCGCCTCATCAAGTTCGACACAATGCATGGAGTGAGCCTTGGGATAGGCCAGTTCACGAACGGATCGGCATTGAAGGAGCTCTTGAAGATCAATCACTTTTCTGGCGGCGATAATGCAGCTTTATTTCGTGACGCCTACAGATCCTTCAAGGCTTTCCTGAAATCTCACAAGCTGGGGTGCTCACAGCCCCTGTTCAGGCCGTGGATGTTGATTCTTTCTGGGGAAGACTACGGCCTGCTTGCTTCCAAGGATCCCAAATCGGAATAGTGTATGCAAGTATATTATAATTAATCTTTTGTGATTGTTATGGGGGAGGGTACAATCGAGCTTGTGTAGCTCCCGCTAGCAGGCATACAACAGCAGGATCATCAGCAGCTGGCTGGCTGAGGAGTGTGGCAGAGCTTTGGCTAGGCAATTTTCGCCACGAATGGCTGCAGTCGCTTCCTGCACCTACTGCTTGCATCGGTGGTACTGCCTCGTCGAGGGAGCTGGGCGATATTTGACGAGAGCCGTTACTCGCTTATTTCCGTAAACTTGTGGTAGCTAGACGAGTATAATTATTATACATATGAGTTTTTAGTTTGGCTGTTATATAGCTCTATTTTCTCATTTTAGATAGGGTTTCAATCAGGAGGCCGACGAAATCTTCGAGGCAGCTCTGGGCTACCTCCATTGGTACAGCAAGCTCGCGGCAGATGCAGCATCCAGCTCTGAGTTTTCCGATTCATCCCAGCAAGGTTTTTGGAGTGGGGTTCTGGTTCCTTTACCACTTCCGTCTAGCGAAAGTTAGCAATGCTTCGCAGGCTTCTGTGGCAAGTCCGGCCGAAGCATCATATTTTCTTCCACTTGAATATGGATGCTCAATTGGACAAATACAACTTCCGCTTCTTTAGCTGTTGGCGCGACGAAGCGGCCATGGGGATGGCCAAACGTGATCCGGTGATCACAATTATTACAAGTTGCAAGAAAACATTCTTAATAAGTCAATGCTTGCAGACGAATCTATAACACTTATTTGCCGAGGCATCGCCCGGGAAAGCCAACCAGATGCTTTGGAATCTGCCGTGATGACGAAGTGGTATCTCACGTTCCCCGACAAGCCTTTGTTTATAATGCTGTTGCCAAGCCAATCAACTAAATATCCATTCGAATCTAAATCCGAATTCCCTAATTCCAAACCGAGGCTATGCAGTGGGGTCGAGAACTTGAAAGCCAAGAGGCGATGGCTTCCTGGCCAGTTCCGGCCGCAGAAGCGGCCAAGGTGCAGATAGCATAGGCTCCATCGGCAGAGGGCTTGGGGTGATTATAATTGCATATAGATCTAAAGTATATACCTGGCCTTGATTCAATTGAAGCCTTGCACGATGATAGGTAGGTAGATCTCTGTGCGATCGACGCCGCTCCGTCGTGAAAATATGTTCATGAGAGGTTTTGACCCAAACCCTGCTTCGGAGTGAGGTGACAAACCATCCAGAAACCCTTGATTCCGGCCCAAAGCTTTGATCCTATAGGAAAGCTAAGGCTATAGAAAACTATAAGTCCTATTATCCAGACTATAGTTCCCAAGACCTCTCCTGCATAGGTCTTGACCGACGCCTGAATAGTTAAGGCCTCGGATGCCTAGGGAAAGAGGAGTCGCAAGATCAGGTCTGGCAAACTGTTTTGGGAGCCGTGTTTGCCGGGTGATACCAGTAATTGCAGGGGCCTTCGGAAAAGGATTTGGGAAATGAGGAGCCAGCCCACTCTTAAGCCAAAAGGCTCTACCTTAGATTGTAGGGGCCTTAGTACGATGATTTAAGGTCTATCCCTAAACCCTAAACCCTAAACCCTAAACCCTAAACCCTATTCCTTAATTAAGGGGTGAGAAGACACGCCTAGGCCTAGGCCTAGGCCTAGGCCTAGACTCGAAAGCCCTGTGACTTGGGAGTCCGGAGACTTCAAAGAATCCTCTTGGAACCTAAACCTTGGCGTTCTTCTGGTTG